TATCGCACGCATTTTTATGACATTCTTTATCGCTCTTGCGTAATGGCCGATGAACCATGGGGACTTTCCGACCCTGTATGTAGGCCAGGAAAATAATTTAATTCAAAAGTCATAAATAAATTTGTTCTGTTTACAACTTTTGATCTAATCAATATTTTTTGACGCTCGAGGGCTAGTTTTGTAGGTCTTTTGAAGAAGAAAAAAAAAGTACATTACTGTTTTCTCGTGGAAATGAACGGAAAAAAGTTATAAGCGAAAAACGTAAACTTACGTAAAAATTATACAATTAACCACCCTGTAAACAATCTTACCCCAATTTTTATGACTGTGGAAACTAATATGTTATTGAACATAATATTTAACATCTATAGTGATAAATTCAGCTTGCCGAAACAAAAAGTCGCGTCCAACTCTATATTTCCTGGCCTATATTATTTATTTTACTTATTTAGAAATACGATAGTCAACGGGACGAAATCCCTATTACAGATGCAACCGAAAAATTGAAAGAAATAAAGACATAAGTACTACAGAATAGAGCAATCAGAATACAAGATCGAGACGCAGAAGAACTTAAATACAAAACTTTCATAAATGATTACAAGCCACGTGACCAGTAATTTACAAGATTTGGATAACGTTCACCAAAACGATTTTTTATGTTTATAGAATAAAAATATATCAAACCGATCTTTATGCGCTTGGTAATAAGAAATCATTTGGTACAGGGGGGACGCTATTAGTGAATTTGTACGAGATGTGGGTAATTGTAAAGCAGGGTGAAGCCTAAAATTAGGTCATGAAATAAAATCTCTAAAACTATTGAATCTGCATTTAAAGTATTATTTATAATTTTAAAAAGAGATATGTATCAGTGAAATATAACACCAAGATCAGTAAATTGCATAACACCATTTAAAGAAGATTCAGCAATCTTTAAAGAAAATCTAGAGTAGATCTGCGTCGACTGTAGTCCATAGTGTTGCACTTGCTTACATTCAGAGATACATATTAATTATTTAAACATCAACTATTGTATTGTCAAGATTATTTTGTAATCTAATACAATCGATAGAAGATATAACTTCCAAGAACACCTTAAGGTCGTCCTTATAAAAGAAATAATTAACACCGAGGCATTCAGTTAAATCATTAATAAAAATAACAAACGACAGTGGCCTTGGAATAGACCCTTGCGGAACTCCTTAATATTGATGGAATTTACATGATTGAAGGTCACGATACTGCATAAACTGGTATCAATTTCCAAAATAAAGTTAAACAATGATAACAGCTCAGAAAATATACCATATGATTCCAATTTCACTGTTAATAAATTGTTATCAAGCATAACAAACATCTACCCCATCTAAAGCTTCAGTAGTAAATTCGGTCTTTTCTCAACTAGGTTTAAATATTATTAAGTAGAACGACCACTCATAAATCCATCTTGATTCAGATATAAATTTTTCAACATGAAAAATAAAGTCGTTTGTGTAAAATTATTTCAAGGATTTCAAAGAAGTCGTTAATTATGTCGTTCTTAGTGCCTTTTTTGTATAAATGGGGCGACTCTTCCAAATTTGTAGATATTCTTTGTATTTAATTATAAAAGTAAATTACTCTATAAAGGTTTACAGAAATTGCTTTACAGGTTTTTTATTAAAAATTTAGTGCTTAATAACAAACTATCAGAATAAACAGTAAATCATACAATACTGTTAATATCATCAATATAATATCAAGTTTTATTATGTCGCTAAGACAGCAGTACTAACAACGGCCAATAATAACGGCTAGTCGCTTAAAAAAAGCTCTTCATTATTAATGAATTATCTTCTTTTTACAAAACAATCGAAAATCAATGAGAAAGACCTTATTAAACTCTTACTTGCTTCATGCACAATGAATGATAAGACCACAACAAAATATTTGAACAATTTTTTCCTTCAACGCCCTAAAATTAAGATACGATACAGGTTTAAATTTATCTAGAAACATTTTATATGAGTTATACTACAAATATTCCTCAAACATAACATGCATTTAAGGTTTAAAAGATTACAATGGTACACTTAGAAATTTGAGTTTAATATAAATCGTCTGGATTGTCATCTTCAACTTTTTCCTTTTTTTTCAAGAAAAGAGAACTTTTCTGCATCTGAATGTAAATTATCTGTGAGCAGGAGGGCAAGCGGTATTTTCGTAGCAGCGTCGGAGAGAAACCCAACAGAACGATTGATTTATGCGCCTTAATGAATCGATACAGAGCATTGCATCCTAACGAACAACAAACAAGGTCTATTATATGTACACGAACGAATTTCATCGGGCGAGCTAATGGAAAAATAAATAAATGAAACGGGAACAAGTGACGTGATTGGTAAGAACTCCCAGCTAGCTCATATTTATATAAAAGGCGAGTAATGCGCTCGAGGTAAATGGTATGGTAAATAAAATTGGAAACATTTATTTATATTATAATATAATAATAGCCGGAGCAGATTTTATTTGCATTTAATTAAAAGATATTCAAGCGTAGCAGCAGTATCTGATGTTTGATGAGGCGTGAATCAACAAGATTCATATCCTATTATTTTTTTTCTTCGGAACGAAAGCGCTTGTTAAGCCTCCAGAAAATTATTCGAGCTCCGATCCATCTAAAAACAGAAGGACATCAGCAGGTCTATCAAGGTTTTTCCTTTGTTATTAAACAGTAGGATGGATTACGTTTTTTAACAGCTTCGCCTGTTATTTATTTACTCACGATTTTTAATAAGAATTTATGATGATTTAATCAAAGATATCTGTACATATACCGAATAAACTAAAATCAGAAGTGGGATTATTTTAGATATTAATCAGAAGTGAGATTTTTAAAACAAATACTCGTCAATGTTCTCAAAATTATTTCCTACGAAAAGAACTCTAATGGAAATGTAAACGACAAAATACATTTAAAATTATTATCTGCTTTATAAAGATCAGACAATAAGCCGGGCCTTTGTGAATTGCCACTTGAGAGTAACGCTTCGGAGAGGGCCCTTCCGAAGTTCTTTCTCATTGACTGAAAACCGCGTGTGTTTGTGTATCTGGTAATGACTACAATTCGTCGGCGTTCAGCAAACAACAACAGCACTGGGTTGTGAAAGTCGTAGGTCGCCCCTAATCTGATTTCTTCCCTTTCAGTTTGCGTGTGAGTCATTAAACCCCTCTCAGTTCACCCTCGCTTACTTGCTCTGCATACGGTACGGCATTGCATCGAAGGCCATTACGGCACCCGCAAAATTGCGTACTGTAATTAGGCACTCGGGGAGCGTATTACCATTATATAGACGATGGCGTATAGGTCGATGATGAAAAAAGACTTACGTAAAATATTAAGTTTAAAATAGTAGAAACAATACCACCAGTTTTAAGAAGCATTAGTTGCGGCGTATTTGTCTTTTTAATATTTTTTTAGAAACTGACAGTCACTTATTTCATATAACTTACCGCGCTTGCTACAAAAAAAAAGTTTGACTCTTATATATAGCATATTTATTATAATTTGTATATGTAGCAATAATACTAACGATAATAATTTGTATAATATATTTCTAAAAAATGTTTCAAATATTATACTGAGCTAACTAAAACGTACAACTAAATCTTAATTTTATAGATTTGTACAAAAATTTAGGTATATTTCCAACTTTTGTTGTCACGTTATTATAGAAATTTTTTTAAATATTTAAAAGTAAATATTTACAAAAAAAGTAGTACTTACCACAGTTACTGCACATATTTTTTTTTAACAGTTATTTTGCTAAAGTTGCAAAAAGGAAACACACATCAATGTCAAAATAGTTCAATCTTGAAATAAAAAATGAACAATATACAAACAATATAAATATAATAAAGGCATAAAGGCGTAAAATCCATAAATGCAATAAAAACCTCTTACGGCTCATGTCTTCAAGATTAAGACTATCCCAGTATTGTTCTTAACCAAAACTCAAGGCGAGGTAAAATGTATTCATGTAAACATTTTCACATTATCTACTACTTCCTTCTAGAAAAACAAAAATAGATACATCTAAATTGTAGAATTCAATAAGACTATGTTATTAAATTTTATTTTTTTAGATATCATTGATATAAAAAAATACGGAATACCTTTCATATATAATTATGATTGATTAACAGTAGTGATACAAGGTAAGTCAAGTTTTCGTACTCAAACTTTTATAGTCGATAAAAGATCATTCTAAAACCAAATTTAAAGTTGAAACAAGACTTAAAGGTTTGTTCCCTAACAAATTATAGGATTTTCTGTTAAAAATACAATTTTAAATATAATGTAATTATCATAAATTGAAAAAAAAACCTCATTGGAACTGTATGAGAGATAGTAGGTCATTTAAAAAGTAGAATTCCTGTGCCAACAATATTTTTGTAAATAAAATAATTTTTTTTATTAAAAAATTGTAATTAATTTTTCTCTGAAACTAGTAAGTTTAGAATTGTTTTCTATTTACGCAATTATGTTATAGGTTTATTTTAAATTTAAAAAAATAAATCAAATGCGAGATATCTCTTTTGTTAGAAATATCAACTGCCATTGAATGCACCTATCCAATTTCCAAAATAAATTTTTGCTCTAGTTTCGTCAGTCTGCGCCAAGCATTTTAAAAGATATTTATATTACCGTGAAATTTTTTATTTCAACACCCTCGAAAACGAGGTATTCTCCAACTTATTATACTAACTTTTTTCCTTCCACCAACTGTTACATTTGACTACAATAACTCCGTATAACAATTTTTATAAGTCGTTCCCCTGCAGAAACTAAAAGTAACTCATTCCATTCGTGCCTTTTATAAAAAATTATAGATTTTTTTTTAATAGAGAATTGAGATAATTAGACAGTGGATTGTAAGACGGTGTGGAATGATACTACGCATCCATGACCGTACTATTCAGTATTGATAGGCTACATAAAGATGCTTTTGTTGTAGGTGATGCAAGCAACGCGAGTATCGGCAGTGGGGAAGGGACCGGCGAGGAAGACGACGACACGAATGGAAAGAAAAATCAAAAAAAGAGAGGCATCTTTCCCAAGGTAGCAACAAATATACTCAGAGCGTGGCTCTTCCAACATCTAACGGTGAGTAATCATTTCCTTATTCTTATTTGTGTTAAAATCATCTTAATATGTTTGTTCCAAAGAGAGTCAGCGATGATTTGAAACTATGTTTGTCCAACTCTTTTGTGACAAAGAAAATTCCAATTCAGGGCATTTTAACATTCCGTTTATTTTAATAATTATAATAAGTAGCAATATTGTAAAGCTACTGTGATCTATATAACGATTATTTTTTGAAGAAATAACGATTTATTCAAGTAACATGTATCAGTATGTTTGGATTAATATAAAACTGACATTTTAAATAATAATTAAAAAATTAAATAAAAAAACATTTCTAAAAAATAAATAATAATATTGGATATTTAAAAAGATTAAACAGAACAATCAAAATAGCCTTTTCGGTTTACAGAATTAATCTGAAAGAAAACAGGTATAGATTTTTAGGTAATTATTAAAAATAGGAGAAAAGCTCAAAACCTTATAAATGTTTTCTTTCCATCTATTTTCGGGCGTGCTGAACACGTATCTTAAGTTAATTTATGCGATGGAATCTAGTATAAAAAAACTTATTCTTCACACAACACCCAAATTATCATTGTTTTCAGCATTTAAAATATCTAGAATGCATGTAATTATAAATTATAAAGATTTAAAGGAAAAATGTATTGTTAATTTAATCTCTTATTTGTCAATTGTCCACTGAAATAACGTTATTAAGTATCGCAAATTTATTTCTAGAGATGGCAAATGGATTAAAAATTATATCGGATGAAAATAAATATAAATATTTATTTATGGTCATTTAGCATTTTTGTTCATGGCACAAAATACTTTAATAATTACACATATCAAATAACTGTAAACAGAATTCTCTATGACATTACTATACTATTTATAAAAAAAATTAAACCTAATTTTAAATAAAAATTATCTATTTATCTGTATGAAATAATGCGAGATCAGCTAAATAAATATAAAAAGAACTTACCTTACACAATTTAACTCTATGTGAATAAAGAAATTTCTATATAAAGTTATGTTATAAGTTTTTTGATCAGAAATATTAAAAATTGAAAATGAGAACGATTGATTTTATTGTAGCAGCACACATAACGTACAAAGCTATGCAATATTGCCAGTGTTACACCAAACTTCTAAAGTGCAACTTTTTTTATGAAATAGGAAGAAAAAATTTGGAATTTTTTAGACTATAATTCAAAGAAGTTTAGAAATATCATAAAAATGTTTATGGCGTCTTCAATCTCTTATTACTGCTACCTGTCACCAATAATCGATTTCTGTGTACATAAAAAAATGTTACTTTTACTTTAACAAACTACGCACATTATAATACAAACGTGAACAATTTCCCTGATATTTATAATTTACTCGTACTAGACAGTTTAATTTTTAGCTTGTCTTTAGCTGAAATAATTATTTGATGTCATACTATGAATGTCATTTTTGCCACATATGCACGCACATTCATTGCATAGAAAATCAATAGTAAGTACAATGTCAGCTTATTTTTTTTATTGATTATGTCATTGTTAAATCTGATGAGAAACTAACTTATGAATTTACAATGAACAGTTTTCTTATTTCTTCTACTTTTTACCGAGAATTGGTAAATTTCTGTGATTTATAAAGTCGATGAAAGAGGGGATTTACTTTGTTCCTCAAATAAATTAATGAAATTATATAAAAACAAACCGTTTAAGCTTCTACAACGCATCGACCTCGACGGCGAGTTAACGTGGATCGACCTTTAGATCCAGAGTTCCCGCATCTTCCAGAATCGAACAGAGATGTGTTCACTTAAGCCGTTAAATTCAGGGTGGGGCCATGAAACGGAACAAAAACATACCCCGGCGAAATTAATAAGTGTATGTTACATGAGCGTACTTAATAACGACGCTCCAGCCGAATGCTGCGAGGCTACCGGCTCGGCAGGAAATTAGGCGTTATGGTCGCGACCCTCACGTACGGCCCGGGATTAGGGCGGCCCCCTCAGGGCCATTTCATCTCTGCTGGTGGCGTTTAATGTTCTCGACGCTTTATCTGGCCGCTGCATGCATGCAAAGGTCGTGGAGCAGCAGCAGCAGCAGCAGCAAGAGGAGGTGGACTGCCCCCATGGCACTTATCCGTATTCAGTCCAGCTCCTGTCCGTCTGGAGGCAGCGGCGTATCGGCGGCGTGATATAAGACGGCCCGAGTGGTTCCCCTAGGAAATCCCGGCCGAGAACGAGCCGAGTCGGGCCCGTCCACCTGTCAGACGGAATTAAAGGATGGGGTCCGCAATTGCAGCCGCGGCCCAGAAACCCGTAGATAACGCTGAGTCGTCGCATCCCGGGGGAGTCCTTCTTGACCGCGGGCCTCAATATTTAATGCGCGCCGCTTCGGGGCACCGGGCGATCCGCCAGAGGTGGACGCTGGATATCCCCGACCTTGTTATTGAAATAAATATTTAAGCAAAAGCGTTTGCGGCTACCCATGAACCCGATAATTTAGTATTCTCTTTTCGTAGTCATTACACATCTGAATTTTTTACCCGATTTTACAGAAATAATCGGGCACGATAGCCTAAATTGATACAAACCTTCAGCAGTTCTTAACAAGCAACTTTACAATGATGACAATATGCGTAATAAACTTACAAAAAGTAAGTAATTATTATACCTAGGTCTATTTTCCTTCTTATTTTATTTTACTATCCCTAATCCACAATGAGTTTGTCTCTAGAGCGAATTTTGGAAGTGTATATATGTATATTTTAAAGAAATGTAGAGTTTACTGTGTAGAACATATAATTAATACGTTTTTCACGAAAAAAATTAAGAATAAAAAAAGTCAAATATAAAAAATATACTATTTTTAATGAAAAAACTTGTTTGAGAACCACTGATTTGTTAGCGATATTACACTGAGTTTTTAAACTCAAACTTTTTATATGAAGTAAGAAGAAGACAATTAAATAAATAAACGTTTCTGTAGACTTCATATAAGGACTCTAAAATATTTCCGTAAAAATTTTTATAGGTTTATCTTGTCCTTACCATAAACTATTTCTGTACATAAATACTAAGAGATGTACACCTTACAATATGTACACATCTGTACAACTTTCTAAATCTTTCTTGAAATTTTTTTACGTTTATCAGTTCAGTTAATCAAATTTTCTTACCTTTTTCAACTTGCTTTACGTTCATTTTTAATATATTCCTTTAAACTCTTATCAATCCACTGTAGTATAACAACCCCGGGTTCGATCAGAAAAATAAAATATAAACGTAGTTGTGGCCAAAAATAAGTGATCGTCATAAGGAATACCTACGTTGTATACATCTATTTTTTTTTTAATTGACCTGGCTACTACCTTTAAAGAGGGGAAGTATGGTTTAATTTTATAAAACAAAAGCAGAGTAAATAAACCTAACTTTATTATTTACATACAACAGTCTTCAAATTAAACATGTGACAAATAGAAAGAACAACAAAAACATTAACAACCATTTAACATAAAATGAGAGTGCCAGGCTCACCTAGACCTCCTGTGGGGAAAGAGCATGGCAGAGAAACCCACGATCGTTGCTTTAACTACCCAAATATAAATACAAAACATAAAATATAAATACAAAACAACTGCTAACAAAAGGCATAAATTAAGATCCTTTGCTAATGATAAACAACACCTGACTCATTTAATGTGTCACTAAATATCACCTCACTCGAATTAGACATACACACTTCCAAGTAAAACTGAAGAGGTTTGGTGTTAGTTAGCCGGCAGGGCCGGAAAGTACTGGAGTCCCATACGGGAGGCAATCCAGCTATAGTTCAGAGTTAAATGTGAAACAAAGGAGTTGTTATTGCAATATCTGGGCAGTCACGACAATATATACATATTTTAACATGTAATAAATAATGAGCAATCATTAATAATAATTGTAACAATTTTATCTTAGAAAAATATACGCCCCTGAGCGTAAGACAATGAAGGCTGAACATATACAGAATTTTTATCATGAAACGTCTATAATCATCACAATCATAAGATTGCATAGAACAATTAACAACAAAGTACTTAGATAATATTATCTGCTAATTAATACGGGTTAAACACTTTTGATTTTTCACTACTTATAGATTTTCACCGTGCACCGATCGTCTTACTTTTCACTCTACCCTCTCCTCACTTCAACTATATAGGCTTCCTTCCAGAATTCCCCACCTAAGCGTTTGTTTTTGCGCTTCCTTCTACCAACTATAAATAATACGTTTTCATTATTATACAACACTCATGTAACAGATGACGTCGAGTTGATACGATAAGTATGGTTTTGCACACCACTTATAAAATTATTTTTGCCTCATGTGCGCTTTCAATCCACAGAAAATACATTTTTAACATATTTACCATGTTGTTATTCTTGTATACCGTCCATATTTCACTTGAATATACAATAGTTTACTAAACATCTTAATTTTATACACTTAAATGCACTTAAAAGAAAAACGCCGTCCGTGAATATAACAAATCAATACAAATATGTCAATTTATGATCATAGAGTTCAGAGTAAGAGTTTCTTAAAAGAACCGGACTTAGATTTACTATGTTAACATAAATATGTTCACACAAAATAAGTGGCAACACAGTAGTATTAATACAAAGTACAAAGTCCAGCAAAGCACTAAAAACTAAGTACATCAGTACGACTCGCGCCTTCCGAACTCTAGATCGGTTCCCAAAATGTATTCGTGAATGGAGGAGTTATAAAAAATGGATATTCATAAATATTTGTAATTTTGAAAAAATACTTTCACTGGACCCATTTGATTTAAATCACGAATTATATCCGCATTTAAATTTAAGTACACGTTTAAGATTCGTCCTGTAAGTAGAGCAAAGTTTGCTACCTTATTCATTAATGCACAGCTCAAACCTCTTGATCCAAAGAGGTGAATTTTTTAAGGAACAACGTAGATACTCACTAAAGAAAAATTTTAGAAAACTTCAT